AAAAAAATCTGAAAAAAAGATATGTTATGGAGAAAAATAAATTAAACAAGATTTGCCTGAGCGTTACATCTGAATTCATTACCGAATGTGAAATAAAAATAAAATACGGAAAAAAAATACTAATAATAAAAATAAATAAAAATAAAAAGAGAATTAGATTTAGTGAGTGCGCGAGCATGTTTTCGACACCGCCATCTTTGGCGATTTTTTATTTTTTTTTGGCATAGCTAAATGCCTTGAAAATTTACAGATGTGTACTTCACATAATACAAAACACACTAAAAAAGTTTCAAAAAATACTAAAATTGTTTAGACCCCGAACTAAAGTGAAAACAAAAAGTAAAAAGTGAAAAAATACGTGGGCGAGCACGTTTTGACACCGCCATCTTTGGCGATTTTTAATTCTTACTGGGATTAGCCAAATGACTTGAAAATTTACAGGCATATATTGCACATCGTAGAGAACTCATAAAACAAAATTCAAAAATACATAATTATTTTTAGGCACCGAAATAATTTTTGGCTGGGGCTGAACGCCGTCGGGTTCAGACCCCGTACGGGACCCCGAACGCCCGTATGTACGGAGGTCTGCCCGGGGACCTCCGTACGTGCGGGCTGGTGACCCTGTATATATATATATATATTAGATAATGTTTAGCCCAGGAAAAAAATAATTGGGGACCCCATTAATTCGCGTCTAACGCGCGTTTGAATCGAAGTTTAACGTGAATTCAACACGCGTTGAATTTTTCAATGCGGAACCCTCGTTGAATTTAAAATCGGATACACAGCCTCAAGCTACTTTCATCGACGGGATGAGAAAAACCGAATGAATCTTTTGCTATAACATCGAAATATACACTATTACATGGGCACGTGTGTGTGTGTGTGTGTGTGTGTGTGTGTGTGTGTGTGTGTGTGTGTGTGTGTGTTTGTGTGTGCATGCGCGCGCATGAGTGTGTGTGTGTGTGTATGTGTCTGTGTGTGTGTATGTGAGAGAGAGAGAGAGAGTGAGAGAGAGAGAGTGTCAAAGTGTCAAAACTTCATACATTTCTGTGTTCATTCTCATTTGTGATGGAAAACTCACTTCTTCAGTCACTTGCGTTCCCCCTGCCGTAGCGTAGCCGCGGCGCATTTACTTGTTTTATTCCAAAATCCGAAAATGTGCAATTTTTAATTTTAAACTTTAAGTTCAAATAAAGAAGTATTCGGAAAATAAATATTATAATATGAATTTTTTGGCTGAGTGTCAACTTTACATTCGCCAACAATAAGCAAAAACGTTAAAGGGGTATTACGAGTTCAATACTAAATTTGAACCTTGAGATCTTAATTCAGACGAACAAATGTCGGGTGTCTAAATCGATTAAGAATTTGAGTTCATCATGCTTACACATAAAACTTTATTCTATATATTTCTTTCATGAGCAAAAAATTGGGCTACCAAAAAAGCCACCTGGCCACGTTGGCTACACAAGTGTCCTGGACGAGCAAGAGCGACACAAGGTCCCCACAGAAGAGAAAAAAAATCAAGAAAAGAAAAACTATATTCTCTATCATTGTAATATAAACTACTTTTACCCCAGGATCGCTCCGAATTTTTCTAGCAAATTGAAAACAAAAAATACAAAATACTTTCTTTTTTTTTAAGCTAAGCACAATTTTATTTTTTTCTACACTCATGGTAAAGATGTTCGCATATTTAAAATATATTTCAAAATAATTATGACGTTAAACCACCACTACTTGCCAGCCTCTTTTTGTTGACCCCTGATTTAGCGGTCACACCGATTTTTTTCGAGCCTAACCTGGAAGTGCAACTTCATTATTTTTTAGTTTTGATACCGCGATAAAAATTGATTATATAATTGTTGTTAGATACACAGTTAAAAAAGAAGAAAACAACAAGAAGAAGAAAGACGAGATGACAGTCACATACATCTTAGAAGTACTGGTGTGAGCATGCCCTCAGTAAGTATGGCCTTAGCAGATTATCGAATCCGCGTGGAAAAGGCAAAAAAAAAGAAGAAAAAAAAAATGAAATTACAACATAAGCGTGCAAGCGGTCAAATTCATTTTGCGTAGTACGAGTTTGAGTTGGCCCTCACGGAGTAGTAATTGTCATAACATGGAATCCGACCTGCCTCGTTTGCAGGACACTAACACAAAAAAGGAACGAGGAAGACAAAACAAAAACAACAATGACGCAACGGACCTTAATAGTGGTAAGATACAATATGTGTTGCACTTGTATGAGTATGTCCTTGGTGAGGCATTTCCCTGACATTATTGAGGTTGATGTACTTTGCTTTTTGTTCTTTGTTTGTTTCGTTGACAAAGTGATCCTACAAGGCCCAAATATTTTTTTTTTTTTGTTAACAAGTACTTCGATGCTGACCCTTAACCAAACCCTCGACAAATATGGTATACATCGTTTTCCCAAATGGGACTACAACTTAGAAAGGCAGTGGTGGTTTAAAACTTTATTACTATTATTTATTTATTTGTTTAACAAAAGCAACTTTGAGTTATAAAATCGAGCCCTGCGCCCCTCACATGAATGTCGTAGTCGAACCGGGTTGGGAGAGGTACTTCTGGCCAATCCCATCCCCAACCCCGGACGTCCCACAATTGAAGACACATGTCTTCAACCCATCCCGTGTGGATCCCTAGTTGCAAAAAGGAAAAAAAAAACAAAAAAACTATGCCATTCACTTACCCTAAACTACTCCAACGCCAACGTGGAATTTAATCATATTCTGATATCGAATTTTATGACGACCAACCTATATTATCTACACGGCAAAAACATTCACACAAATTCCTCACCTATACCCGATTCAATTATGTTGATCGTCCTTAATACTGATGGGGAATTTACCCTAATCTAATATAAACCTAGGTTGTTTTTCCGGGGGCCCGGGCACCCAACTTGTGCCCGGATACACACCCGGGTGCCCGGCCGAGCATGACCCCCGGGCATAGTCCTGGGCAACCCCAGTGCCAAAAAAAAAAAAAAAAAAAAAAAAAAAAAAAAAAAAAAGTCAAAAAATTCTCGAAAACAATGTGTTGTGTAGAATTGCAATACAAACAACTTTTGGCTGAGGGTCACATCAGAATTCGTCACCGAATCGGAGATAAAAAAGAAAATAACAAAATTACACTAAAGGGCCCCCCTTTAACCCCTCTTAGCCCCTTTAAAAATAATTTATACCCCCCTTGACCCCCCTGACAACCAACTCTCAAAAAATGAAACGAGCCCGGATTTTGGTTCCTCTGTGAAAGTGTAGAAAGGCAAAAAAAAAATTTTATTTTATTTTTTTTTTGCACGCCTGGGTGCCCAACGGTGCAGGCCCGGCCGGGCATGAAAAACTTCCTAGATATAAACTTCATTATTTTAATTTTTCATCATTCAATAAATTACAGTGAACCCACACTCGTTCAGAAGTCAATCAATAATACAATGCAAGTTTGAACCTAGCGCGCCATATGGAGTCTCAAAATTTGACTACAAGTCGGAAGCATGATGTCATCAAAGAAGAGCATGGAAGAAAGACAGAGGAGAGAATAACCAAAGAAAAGGAGGAGAAGAGTTTCATTAATAAAAAATAATATACGTATATCACTCTGCACTCCCACTTCTGCTTCATGCTTCTCCCCTATCACCATCTAAGCAATGCATGTTCTCGTCTGACGTCCACTGACATGATCACTGTGAAGATCTTAGCAAAGCTCACATATTCCTTCAACTGTCAACGATAAGCTACAGAGGATGGTGCAGTCCTGCCTCACCTTCGTGGAGACAAGCAGCATATCAATCACATCGGCGCCAAATAAGTCCAGGTACGCTTCTCTTCAAACCTCTCATCAGTCTCACGACCATGATCCCCTCCTCCTAGCCCAACCTCATCACCAACGTTTATAGCTTTGGTGGTTATGACCACTCTAATACGTCCTTCCTCTAGGTTAGCGCCCTCCAACAACATCTGACGCTTACAACTCTCACCAGCAGCCTCATATAGCAACACTTTGATTTTATTTTTTACTTCAAGTTTGATAAAGAATTTCGATGTGGCCCTAAGGGCAAATTTTGCCCAGTTTATTTGTTAGCATAACATATTATTTTTCCAGACCTTTGAAGCTGCGTAGCATACTGAACGTGTTCGGAAGTTTTCCGAACATCCGAACACGTTCGGTCGTTCGCCCGAGCGGAACGCGAACGCGTTCGCACGAACGCCTTTCCGAGGCCGGTGAACGTGTTTGCCCAGCGGGCGTTACCGGCTCGGGGAAGGGTCTCGGGGGCGGGTGGGGGCCGTGGGGGGTGTTGCAGGGGGCGGGGTTGGGCGGGCGGCCTTGCGATAGGGGCAGCCAGGGCCCACGTTCGAATTTGAACAGCGTCGAGCAACAGCCCGCCCTGCCACTCCAGACTATGCAGCCGTTGCCATCGTCGACGTCGGCGCAGCCTCGCAGGGAGCATGCCATCGCCGTGGTAGGTGTCCAGCCCCCACCTCCTCCTCCTCCTCCTCCTCCTCCTCCTCCTCGTCCCCCTTTTCCTCCTTTTCTTCTTCTACTGCCATCTTCTCCACCATATCCACGTCCTCCTCCTCGTCTACTTCTTCGTCCTCACCTTCCTTTCCTCCTCCTCCTCCTCCTCCTCCTCCTCCTTCTCCTCCTCCTCCTCTGCCTCCTCCTCCTCCTTCTCCACTGACCAACGCGCGGCTGCCACATCAGCACGCGCCCAATTTATTTTTTTTTGTTCGTCTTCTTCTTCCTTCTCCTAATCCCCCTCCTCCTCCTCCTCCTCCTCGTATTCGTCTTCCTCCTCCCCGTCGTCGTCCTCCTCCTGTACTCCTTCCTCCTCCTCCTCCTCCTCCTCCTCCTCCTCCTCCTCCTC